GTGTGTGTGTGTGTGTGTATGTGTGTTAGTGTGTATGTGTTAGTGTATGTGTGTTAGTGTATGTGTGTTAGTGTGTGTTAGTGTATGTGTTTGTGTGTTGGTGTGTGTGTTAGTGTGTTTGTGTATGTGTGTTAGTGTGTGTGTGTGTGTGTGTGTGTGTGTGTGTGTGTGTGTGTGTGTGTGTGTGTGTGTGTGTGTGTGTGTGTGTGTTTGTGTGTGTGTGTTTGTGTGTGTGTGTTAGTGTATGTGTGTGTTAGTGTATGTGTGTTGGTGTATGTGTGTTGGTGTGTGTGTGTTTGTGTTGTGTGTTTGTGTGTTGGTGTATGTGTGTTGGTCTTGTGTGTGTGTTAGTGTATGTGTGTGTCAGCATGTCTGTGTGTGTGTCAGTATGTCTGTGTGTGTGTGTCAGTATGTCTGTCTGTCTGTGTGTCAGTATATGTGTGTGTATATCTGTGTGTGTCAGTATGTGTATGTGTCAGTATGTCTGTCAGTGCGTCAGTATGTCTGTTGGTGCATGTGTATGCATGTGTCAGTATATCTGTCTGTGTGCCAGTATGTCTGTGTGTGTGTGTCAGTATATCAGTCTGTGTGTGTCAGTGTATGTGCCTGTGTGTGTGTGTCAGTATTTCTCAGTGTATGTGGGTGTCAGTATATCTGTCGGTGTGTGGGTGTCAGTATTTCTGTCAGTGTATGTGTGTCAGTATGTTGATCAGTGTATGTGTCTGTGTGTGTGTGTCAGTATGTCAGTATATGTGTCTGTGTGTCAGTATGTCTGTATATGTGCCTGTGTCAGTATGTCTGTCAGTACGTCTACCAGTGTATGTGACTGTGTGTGTGTCAATATATGTACCTGTGTCAGTGTGTCTGTCGGTGTATGTGCCTGTTTATCTGTATGTAGTCAGTGTATGTATCTGTGTATCTGCTTGTGCGTCAGAGTGTGTACCTGTGCATCTGAGCCGCAACTTTAAATACAAATACACCCCTCCATTCAAACTTCAACACTACATATAATACACACTCCTGCATTGAAACGTCAACACTACATACAAGCACACTCCTACATTCAAAAACAAACACTACACATAAATGCACACTTGCATTCAAACTCCAGTACCACATACAAACACATTCACACAAACATACTCCATACAAACACATGCTTACATTCAAACATACTAACATGGCTCAGTGCTAAATACAACCCTGCAAGCATGGGAAATTGGTAGAGTCCCAGCTGTCAAAGCATTGTTGGAGTTGCACGACAGATGGAGTTCTACCTTTAGTCCAACCTTGGGATGGATGCCGTGATTGCATACCAGGGAGTGAGGGGCGAGAGCGGCAGGGCACAGGGGGCCCAAGCAAACACTTGCCCAGGGTCCATTCGTTATTAAAGACGGCCCTGCCTGCAGATTTTGAAATTTGTAAAAAATGTTTGTTATACATAGTTATATAAGCTGACTTGCTGAGCCACAGCAAGCGTAACAATAGGCATAGTGTTGCATTTGCATGGCGTAATGATTTGAAAGAACAATTTACATTTTGTATAGAAAGTGTTGAGTAAGAGTATGAGGAACTGACTCTGCTGGGTTTCGAACCCTGGTTTACATGGTGCTAAACCTCTTCCTTACCAGTACACCAGCCTGCCTTTTGCAAATTTACCTGAGATCTGATACCATTGCTTGTAGAGTCAAGGTTATCAGTGACAACTCTCTTCAGCTGTGTCTGGTCAGGTGTCTGGTTCTTGGCCTATAAAAGCCACTTCCTGTCTCTGTACCTTTGCCAGATTATTGTGGTTCCTGTACTCTCTAATCAAGTGTGTTCCTGTTTCTCCTTCCTGTTGCTGAATTTGGACTGTTTTGACTTTGCTGCTTCTCCTTCCCACTGACCTCGGCTTGCCTCACTACGATTATCATCTTTCTGTTCCAGTCTCCCATCTCTGCTTAAGACCAGAAGGCCACTCAAGGCTCAGGGGCTCAACCACCTGGGTAACGAGTGGCTACCTCTGGCAGAAAACATTGCTGATCTGGCTACTGGACTCCAAAACTTTGTAACATCAATATCATTACAAAGAGTTAAGTCTCAGGGGTGAGAGCAGAGGAGCTACGCTCGGAGTAGCCTTAAAAGTAACCCCCTGAGAACTGAGGTGACAGTAGCTTAAAGAGTTTACATTAAAATACTAGTAAAATGGGTTACACATGCCAGCTCAGTAAGATATAAGATGGCCATAACATATGACTTGCAATGAGCTGGGTTGCTATAACATCTATAGAGTGTATAGACACCCATGGGTGGCCATGTAGAGGGTGATTAGACAGCATCACTCTAGATACAGAATCAAACATCATGGCTATAAGCAAGAGATGAACATAAAGCAACAGTAAACAGGATAAGGCATGTTTATGGTAGGTAAAGTATCCGCAAGGGACTCGGTTCAGCCGATACCCTCCTGGGGCCTAACATAGTCCTGTTGCTGTCCTGCCGTCTGTTAGCATCTCTGACTCCTCCCGGCCATCCAGGAGGTGCAGCAGGTGAAGGCAGTTCGATGGTGCACGCTGGGAGTCGTCTCTCTGAACAGACGTGAAGGGAGGTCCCCCGGTGCCCCTTCCCCCTTTAAATAGTGTAAAATCTTACCTTCTTTCCAGCGCCACGAGGGTCTGCTGGTGCTGGTTCCATCCCTGATTTTCCTCCATGGCCGAGATCATCAAAACTGATGATCTCAGACAGTTTAATGCTTTCCTATAATGTCCTATTTACTATGTCCACCCTCTTTTTATGCTAAGATATTTGAAATAATAACAATTCAATCCAATGTCAGGTAAGGGTCTCCTCCACGACCACTTCTATTATTATTATTATTATTATTATTTTTATATTATTATGTTATTTATATAGCGCCATCAAATTCCGCAGTGCTTTACAATGGGTGGACGAACAGACATGTAGTTGTAACCAGACAAGTTGGACACACAGGAACAGAGGGGTTGAGGGCCCTGCTCAATGAGCTTACATGCTAGAGGGAGTGGGGTAAAATGACACAAAAATGTAAGGATAGTATTAGACTAGTGACAGTTGCAGAAGAGGAATCAGTCAGGAGATATTAAAGGACCACCATAGTGCCAGGAAAACATACTCGTTTTCCTGGCACTAAAGTGCCCTGAGGGTGCCCCCACCCTCAGGGTCCCCCTTCCACCTCCCCCCTCTCCAGCGCCGGGCGGGGAGCTCTCCTCCTCCTCTCCGCCTCCTCTCCTCCTCCTCGGCTGAATGCGCATGTGCGGCAGGAGCTGTGCGCATTCAGCCAGTCCATAGGAAAGCATTCACAATGCTTTCCTATGGACGCTGGCGTCTTCTCACTGTGAAAATCACAGTGAGAAGCGCGGAAGCCCTCTAGCGACTGTCAATGAGACAGCCACTAGAGGCTGGATTAACCCTATTATAAACATAGCAAACTGCTATGTTTATAGAAAAAAGGGTTAAACCTAGCTGGACCAGTGTTTTTGAAATGGAAATGGCAGGATTTGGCGATAGATTGAACATGAGGCTTGAAGGAGAGGTCAGAGTCAAAGAGAACACCAAGGCAGCGAGCCTGCATGGTGGAGCTGATGATAGCACTGTTGACTTGGAGGGAGAAAGACAGAGGAGTAACAACACTTGAGGGAGGAAAGACCAGAATTTCAGTTTTGGTCAAGTTTAGTTTAAGGAAGTGGGCAGCCATCCAGTTAGAAATAACAGAGAGGCAGTCAGAGACAGTAGTCAAGAGGGACGGGGAGAGATCAGGAGAGGACAGGTAGATGTGCGTGTCATCTGCATAGAAATGATATTGGAAGCCACAGGAGCTAATGAGTTAGTGGCCATGGAGGTTGGACTAAGCCAACAAGAATTTTCTAACAAATATTCTACATAAGGGGCCAAAAATATATGAATCGAATTACACTCATAGGCAAACCTATTTGTTGCTTTTTAATTCGTCATCGTAAAACAAAATAGCAGTTTTAGTTTTTCATGCTACTGCTTTTATGTTTAGATTTCAAGCACCTATTCTTCTCTAATAGCTATGCAACCACAGCATTTTTCTTTCCTTTACAAAGAGTGTCTTTCATAAGACTTGCCACCAAAGCTGAAATTTAAATGTTTTCCACGATTTTAGTTCAACCATTTTCACCTAACATTTTTCATTTTGCTTTGACATTTCACAAGTTAATAAACTTGTATACATTTCTGCAATGTTTCCACACAGATTGCACTTAAAAACAAGTATACATTGGCTTGCCTCCATATGATTTACTATGCCCAAATACTTTAAAAGTCAAATAGAGAATATACTAATCTGTTGTGTGTGTTTTTAATCTAGAATAGCTTGGGGCCAGGCAAAAACTCAAAATTCCAGCTTTTCAAGTCAATGGATGTCTATGGAGAGGGGGATCTGCTATTTAAAGATTTCACTTCATGTCTCCTTCCTGTTGGCCAACGCAGTGTACAAGACATACTAGGAGAAAACTTCATGGATCTTGCAGACTCAGTGTTTTCCTGCACACAAGCGGGTATTTGATCTTTTACTTATGTCTTAAAATGTATTGCTTATCTTAATGTCTAGGTATAACATCTATATACCGTATATACTCGAGTATAAGTCGAGTTTTTCAGCACATTTTTTGTGCTGAAAACCCCCCACTCGACTTATACTCGTGTCAATGTCTGTATTATGGCAACTTACATTGCCATAATACAGACTAGGACCGCTGGGCTTATTACAAGCCCGGCGGTCCTGTTGGGGGGCTGGCAGCGAACTGTAACTTACCTTTCCTGCAGCTCCTGTCAGCTCCCTTCTCTCTCCTCCAGTCCGGTCAGCTCCCCTGTCAGCTCCCACTGTAAGTCTCGCGAGAGCCGCGGGATCAGAGCGTTGCCACGGGTTACTGTGGTAACGCTCTGCGCGGCACTCAGACCACGAGACTTGCAGAGGTTGCTGACAGGGGAGCTGACCGGACTGGAGGAGAGAGAAGGGAGCTGACAGGAGCTGCAGGAAAGGTAAGTTACAGCTCGCTGCCAGCCCCCCTCCTACACAGCCCATCCACTGGACCACCAGGGAATGAGAGCTCCCCTCCCTGGCCAGCTAACAAGCAGGGAGGGGGGACGAATAAAAAGAAATACAAATTAAAATAATAATAAAATATTAATAATATTAAAATAATAATAATAATAATAAAAAAATATTAATAATATAACAAAAAAAGTTAAAATAATAATAATTTTAAAAAAATGCCCACCCCCTCACATACACAAACACACTCTGCATCACACACACACACACTGCATTCATACACACACTGCATTCATACACACACACACAATGCACTCATACACACACTGCACTCGTACACACACACACTGCATTCGTACACACACACACACTGTATTCATACACACACACACACTGCACTCATACACACACTGCATTCATACACACACTGCATTCATACACACACTGCATTCATACACACACACTGCATTCATCATATACACACACACACACACTGCATTCATTATATACACACACTGTAAATAAATATTCAATTAATATAATTTTGGGGGGGTATAATTTTATTTAGAAATTTACCAGTAGCTGCTGCATTTCCCACCCTAGTCTTATACTCGAGTCAATAAGTTTTCCCAGTTTTTTGCGGTAAAATTAGGGGTCTCGACTTATATTCGGGTTGACTTATACTCGAGTATGTACAGTATTCTAAATCTGACAAGTCTTCTACATTCTTAAAATGAGATATAAATGTTTTTCTTTATAATAAGTTATGCATTCACTCTTAGGCAGCTGTAGGAGATACACTGCTACTTTAATCCGATGCATATATTTATTTATAGGATAACTAATTAAGTACATTGTTCATGGGTTTTTAAAGAGATCTGCAGAGGCAGGTTTATAACAATCTGTGCATGTTCAGAGTATACTTATATCATCACACTTGTTTTGTAAGCTACCTATGCAGACAAAGCATGTAACAAACACAAACATCTTAATTCATTTTATAAATACTACTGAGTTTCAGTGAAGGGTACAATGTATTCTTCGTTTAAAGGGACATTATAGAGACACTATGACCATTTAATCTCATTGAATTATGTATAGTGTCAGGATTACAGAATGATCCAGCACGTAGAATTGTGTAACACCTTAGAATGGCCGGGCTAACGTATCAAAGAATAGTCAGGAATAGCCGAGGTCAAGGGATACAGAAAGAGACACAACGATAAGGAAAAGCCAGGAGTCAGGGATGCCAGAAAACAGGGAAGTCAAAAACAATGCCAAAGTCAAATAACCAGAATGACCAGAATCAATAACCCTCTCTTGGACAACCACAAGGGAAACCACGACAGGGCACTGAGCAGGATGAGAACTGGGCCTAAATACCCCTCTATTAACAGTTTGATTGATACGCTTATATGAAGAAGTGGGTTTTTAACGATTTTTTGAAGGAGTGGAGACTGGGTGAGCATCTAACGGAGGAGGGAAGTGAGTTCCACAGGAACGGTGCAGCCCTCGAGATATAGCTAACACTAAACAGAATGACAGTGCCAGGGGACTTCATATAATAAAACCACTTCAATTAGATGAGGCAGTTATAGTGCCTACAGTGTCCCTTTAAGTGTATGATGGCCAACAGTTTACTAACTTAATCTGTTTCGGAGTGAATGGCACAATACAGAAAATATAAGCACTGTGCATAGGGGAAATCTGATGTTTACTATTAGGGAAATGTTGCAAGAAATATTTAGGTATCTCATTTTAATAGATTTGTTAGATTAACACATTTTTATGTAGACACAACTGTGTGTTTATCCAATAAATCAGAGTAACTGAACGATTCATTTAAGTTAGTCTGATGTTCATAAGTAAATGAGATCAATGTTTTGTTTTTTTCCAGGTATTTTAGACTTTTGCAACACAGACATTTGCGCGGACACCAAGAACTGAACTGAAACAGAGATTCACAGAGACAGACTGTTTAAAACAAGCATTCATACTATCAATGACGTGCAATCCAGTGTTGTAATACATCATTCTACATCAGGTTATTTTGCATGGAGTGATCTTTCAAAAAGGTAAAGGTTTCTTGGTTGGATAGTTATGTTTCCATTATTTCTGGAAGGATCTGAAACATTTTATCCAACTCTGTGTAGGTTCAAGTGCTGTATGGTATACTGTTATTTTTGTTAGTTTTGTTAGAGACCAGCTTTACAAAAAATATAATCCTTTCACATAAAAGAACACTATATTTAAAAATATTCTGACCAGCTAGGTCATTTATAAAACGCATGGATGAACAGGTTGCTTTCAGGCAGGTACAGATTGAATCTATATTATATAATTAAATCACAACTAAATATAGTAAAATATATTTCACAATCCTCATCCCAGAAAATTGGTGAGCATCTAAAAGTGCACTTGACAAATAAAATTCTATATCCGAATTCTGAAAGTACCAAATACATAAAAAGTGCAATGTGAAATGTTAAACAGTGCAATATTAAGTGTTCTGACATGTAGGAACCTTAATACCTTGCATCCAAAAGGTTAATGTAAAAACTGTAAGTATATGGTTGCAAAAAATATATTTACCTGCTCATACCTCCTGTATGGCTGCCACAATGAACGGGGCACATTTCATGCCCACAAATGGTACTGGTTGCATCCCACATCTGGTATGTAAATGCACTCTACATATAGTAGTGCGCCACTTTGACTTTTTTTACTTTGCAGAAACAGATATAGCATAACCAGAGATATATGTGTTCTAGATCTGCCCTAGCATTCATTTTGCAAATATCCAGTCTCACAAATGTGCCTTAGTCCGTTCATTGGGGTATCACATTCTGGAAGTTGCAACAATCCTCTTAGGTTTCCGGGGTGAACAGTGATGGACTATTGGTATGATGGGTATATGATGGGTATATGTGTATATAGGCCTTGTTTTTCCACAGTATTTGTTTCACTAGGGGTTTAGATACTTCTATGATACAGTGGTGTTTTTATTGTAATATGAGCTCGATTTCATATGAGACATTTTATTGATGTCTCCATAACAGAGTGACATTGGGACACAAATGTAATAAAACATGTATTTATTCTGCATAACTTTTTGAGTGGTGCATTTTATTTATGAATTTCTGTCACTATAACTTGTTTATTTTCCATCATTTTAAAATCACCATGATGTATAACTGTGAAGCCATGTAGTAATTCCTCTAACAGTCACATCTAATGGCCTTCAAGACTGAACAATTACTAGCCCCTTCCTCTAACATGACTTATTGAAGAAGTGTGGTATCCTGCATTAACCATGGCTTATTGGTGGTGTCAGAAGATGCATGACCGAGGAACACAAGCACAATGCATCAAACTCAACAAAAATAATTGGTTTTCACATAATCATCAGACAAAAGAGACAAATGTGCCATCTAACCTCCTACAGATGTATAAGAAATAGCTGATCATCATTGTAAACCTCAACCAGTTCTAACCTTTGCTACAGAGATCACAAGCCTCACAAAAGATGATGAGGGTTTTACTTCGGAAACACACAAAGCAGCACTAAGAATACTTGCAAGTGCTTCTAAATTAGGCAATGCCTATCAATTGTTTGTAATAGGGTTAAAATGAACCTGAAATGACAGGTTCACTTTAATTGCCAATATCTATTTTAAAGAAAAACAGGGAATTGGGGGCACACCCAGAACATGCATTTCTCAGCAATAGTGATACTGTAGAGACCAGACTTTATACAACAAACAGATTAAAGGGACACTTAGGGACCCAGACCACTTCAGCTCATTGAAGTGGTCTGGGTGCTGTCTCCCTACTGCACTTAGTGCTGCAATGTAAAACATTGCAGTTCCACAGAACTACCAGACAGCTCCTGGGGTCGCTTCCGCAATCCAAACGGACTTTTGGTCTATCTGACACTAGATGTCCTCACGGACCTCCAGGGTCAGATTTTCCTCATAGGAAAGCATTGTATAATGCTTTCCTATGGGGCAGTTTAATGCACATTAGGTCTCCCCCGCCGGCTGACGTCGGCAGGGGAGGAGCGTGGGCGGAGCCGGACCCAGCGCAGAGAGACATTGGCTCTGGATTCAGGTAAGTGGCTGAAGGAGTTTTAAGGGGGGTCACAAGAGAGGAGGGCACTGTAAGGACATATAGTACCAGGAAAACTGATTTGTTTTACTGGCACTATAGGATCCCTTTAACCCCTTAAGGACACATGACATGTGTGACATGTCATGATTCCCTTTTATTCCAGAAGTTTGATCCTTAAGGGGTTAAGAACAGCGCACACATAAAAATACAGTTTTAAATTGTATAAGGCTAATTAAAATCACCTATCTCAGCAAATATGGGGATCCAGTTCCCCTATATGGCTCTGTTGTGTTAAGCCCACCAGTACTTCATGGTACCCCAATATCGATGGGTCCTACAATATTTTCTATTTATATACAATGCTCTTACAACAGATTGTTTAAAAACACTTTGGTTCATTCGGCACTAGCTCTATTTGTCTTGTCTCTCACGTTGGAATTAGTGTAGGACCCACTGATATTGGAGTACTGTAAAGTAGAGGTGAGCTTAACACAATATGACCAAATAGTTGAACTGACTCCAAATTTTGGTTTGCTGGGATAGGTGTTTTTAAAGGATCACTGTAGGCACCCAGAGCACTTTAGCTCATTGAAGTGGTCTGGATACAGTGTCCCTATTGCACTTAGTGCAGCAATGTAAACATTGCAGTTTTATAGAAACTGCAATGGTTACGTTGTAGCACTAAGACAGCCTCTAGTGGCTGTTTACTAGAAAGCCACTGGAGGTGCTTCCGGAATGTTACCAGACCTATATTCGAATAGACTTCACTTAGATAGTACTTTCTAATTAATTATTGTAATTTTGCCTATTGCAGTTTCACTTGCTGTACTAGACAGGACATTTGGCTTTTTCATGCTATGGAATATTAACTAGAGATGAGTGTATTACTGTGTGATTGTATAATATATTACTGCAGCTTTAAATCCTGATCCTATACTTGAGTAGACGCCATGTATTGTTTTTAGATGTCACTTATACATATGTTTTAACATGTGATTGTACTCTTTAACTTAATTGGTTTTGGGGTTATTTAAACACTGCTGTTATGCTGTATCCCTTGTGCATGATTAAGACTCTGAGGAGCCAAAACGTCGCACTTATTCTGGTGAATAAGGTGGTGAACCCACAAATAAATTTACCTTCTATATCCTGGAGTGCTGCCTGTGTTTCTCTTCTTCTTTTTCTTTTTTTTTTTTTTATTCTTTATTTTTTTTTTATTTTTTTTCAGTTTTATTGGTTTTGTCATCAATAGGGGGTACAGAAAGGAAAAGAGGGGATGGGGAACAGTAGGTTTGAGGACAATACAATAAGCATGGTACATCAAAGTGCATGGTTTGTTGTTACATTTAGAGAGCAACTTGTTATAAAGATAGCGAATGATACATTGCCCTTTGATGTGTCGTATAACTTTTTGCTGAGGCCCCGTCATCCCCTGCTTTCTCTGGATCTACCATGATCGTGCCGCTCGGCCTCTACTTATCGCCGTAGGCGAGCGGTGTGCTCCTGAGTCCCCTCTGGGGTTTTCAGGGGTTCTGGTGTTCCCTGTGGCCTGTGCCTAGGTTCCCTCTCCTCAACCTATAGATCTTGGGGTTGGGTGCTGTAACTGGGTGGTGGCGAGGGGGGAGGGGAAGGGTCAGATCTCGCCTGTTCCCCATCGTGAGGTGGCTGGGAAAAGTAACGGGGTGAGAGGGAGGATGGTTCCATTGAGTATTGTGGTGGTTCATCATTGTGCGTTGTGATTAGTGTCTTTTATGTTTGCCCAGTGCCGTAACCAGGGTTCCCATGTGCTGGCGTATTTGTCATGTCGGCCTAGGGGGGACCAGTATAAGTTCTCCATTTCTCTCGTGGATTCCACCCTATCTATCCATTGAGTCGCCGTGGGGGTTTCTGTTTTCCTTCAGTGTAAGGGGATAAGGTTATTTGCTTCCCCTAGTAGCAACCACAGCAGTTGCTGTGTTTTCGGATTTTGGAAGGTTTGTGGCCAGCCCAATAGGATTTGTGATGGTGTCAGTGAGTGTGGGAGCGGTAGGATGGTCTTTATGGTTGCTAGTACCTCCGTCCAGTAGTGTCTAATGCGTGGACAGTCCCACCATATGTGTTCTATTGTCCCCACCTCGCTGTCGCATCTCCAGCATTTATCGCTAAGTGTTGGCCAGAAGTGGTGTAAAAGATCTGGGGTCCTATACCATCTTGTGATGCGTTTGTAAAAGGCTTCACGTCTTGAGAGGCTAATGGAGGCTGTCATAGGTCTTGTTAGAATGTACTGCCAATCGGCGGGAGTCATGTGAATGTGCAACCCTTTCATCCACCGCTGATGGAAGGGAGGAGTCTCTTGGACTCCTTGGGGGGAAGACCAGTAACTTATATATTTGGGAGAGTGTGCGTTTGTGCATTGTTTTGGCGGTGCATAGTTGCTCGAATTGGGTGAGATCTCTCGAGTTCCAGTTTGGTAATACTGTGCTTTGCAGGATGTGGCGTATGTGCCCGTATCTTAGCGTTTCAGTGAGTGAGCCCTGGCCTCCCCACTCCCGTAGAGGTTTGACATTTGGGGGGGTGTCATTTGTTATCATGTCTCCTATACGTGGGTCAGTTGTCCCCAGTATTTTCCTCAGTGTTGGAGCTCCCCTTCCCCCCAGGATATCAGGATTGTGTGCTAGTGGGTAAAGTGGGGAAATTCCTGGAGATAGTCCCCATGTGGTTTTATGGAGTCTCCATTTCGTTAAGATGTGGTGGAGCAGTGGGTGCGCTGTGATGGTTAATTTTTGCAGGTGGCATGTTTGCCAGGGTAGTGTGGACAGGGGAACTGTGGAGAAACTTTGCTCCAGGTCGTACCATGCTTTTTTGTGTTGAGTGTCCGTCCACTCTTTCACTCTAGTGAGGAGGGTCGCTATGTAGTATTTATATATATGGGGTAGGCCCATCCCCCCTTCCTTCTTATTCCTTGTGAGTGTGTCGTACGCTATCCTTGCTTTTTTATGTCCCCATATATAGGATATAAAGGCTGATTTCATTGTACGGAAGAAGGTATTATCTAGGTCTAGTGGCAGAGTTTGAAAAAGATAGAGGATCTTCGGTAGGATCATCATCTTGATGATGTTGATTCTCCCAAATAGGGAGAAGTGGGGCTTGTCCCATTGCTTTAGTTTGGATGTAATGTCCTGTAACAGGGACATTTATATAGGCCCTTCACCGTGGGCGTCAGGATGACTCCCAGATATGAGAGGCCCGATTCTGTCAATTTATAGCTGTAGGCGTCACTGATTTGTGTCTTGCGTGTCGCATTCAGCCCTAAGCCCATTATTTCGCATTTGTCTGCATTAATTTCGAAGTTAGAGCAAGCACTAAATTGGTCTATCTCTTTCTGCACATATGTGAGGGACTGTTCCGGGTTGGTTATGGTGAGAAGTACATCATCTGCGAAGGCAGATACTTTGATCTCCGTCCCACCCGCTCTAAAACCTGTAATGTTGTCATTGGTTCTGATGGCATTGAGAAAGGGCTCCATAACCAAGACAAAGATTAGGGGTGACAGTGGGCATCCCTGCCTAGTGCCGTTGCCAATGTGAAACGGAGGGGAATCAAGACCATTAACCCTGACTGAGGCTGAGGGACCTCTATACAACATTTGCACCCAGTGTCTGTAATTTGGATCCACTCCCAATGCCTCCAGTGCGGCGAACAGGAACCCCCAGTCCACCCGGTCAAAGGCTTTTTCAGCATCAACTGACAGGAGTAGCGTGGGGGTCCTGGAGGACAGTGCGCCGTGCATGACGTTGAGGAGACGGGTCGTGTTGTCCCGTGCCTCTCTCCCTGGGATAAAGCCCGCCTGATCCGCATGAATTAGGTCCGGAAGGAGTGGTTTAACCCTATTGGCCAGTATTTTTGCAAAGAGCTTTAGATCTAGGTTAATTAAGGATATTGGCCTATAGCTGCCACATAGGCTCGGGTCTTTACCCGGTTTTGGGAGAACAGTGATCGAGGCCTTTAGCATGGGTGGTGGTAGAGCATCTTTGGTCAACAGAGTATTGAGAACATCTAGGTACTTTGGACTCAATATGTGTTGGAAGGTCTGATAATATCTAGCCGTAAGGCCGTCTGGGCCTGGGCTTTTGCCTTTGGGGAGGGTCTTTATGGCTATTCGGAGTTCCTCAGGTTGGATGGGTAATTCTAATTGGGCTGTTTGTTGTGCGTCTAGTTTTTTATGAGTGTGGGCTGAGACGTACGCTGCTTTGTTATGTTGTGTGTTCAGTGGTTGTCCCAAGTTGTAGAGGTCGCTGTAGTAGTTTTGAAAGGTTTTGGCTATGTCCTCTGTCGTGTCTTGGCGTATCCCGCTTTTCGTGGTTATGTGAGAAATGTATGTTTTTTGGTGTTTGTCCTTCAGAGCCCTAGCTAGATATTTCCCACTTTTATTGTCGTGTGCATAATATGTCCCCTTAGTCAGCTGGGCTGCCCTATGGGCTTTCGCTGCAAGGAGGTTTCGCAGTTCTATTCGTAATGCTGTTAGCGTTTTATATGCGTCAGTTGTGGGGGTATCCTTGTGGGCAGATTCTGCTATGTGTATGGCTTTAGTTAGGGATTGGATTTGTGCTGTTCGTTCCCATTTTATGCAAGCTCCCCACTTGATCAGGATCCCTCGTGTTATACCTTTGTGTGCCTCCCATACCCATGGTTCCGCAGTGCCTTTACCCGCATTTTCGTGGAAATACCTGGGCAGTTCGTTGGTCAGGTCTTCAGTTACCCTGGGGTCATCTAACAGTGATTCGTTTAGGCGCCACGAGTTGCTCGCGGCACTCTTCTCATCTAGAGACAGTGTAAGGAATATTGGGGCATGGTCCGACCATGTGATCGGTCCTAGGGACGCGGAGGCCAGTGTGTGCAGGTGTTTGTGTCCTATCATGAACATATCCAATCTAGAGTAGCTTTGGGCCACCTGGGAGAAGTATGTATAATCCCTCTCCTGGGGGTGGATGATCCTCCAGCAATCAACTAGCTGGTTAGCATGTAGCGTTTTTTGGAACAGCAGGCGTTGGTGTGCTAATGTGTCTTTACCTGTCGCAGTGCTGTCTATAGCGTGATCTGGGACTATGTTCCAATCGCCCCCTAGCACCACCAACCCCTCTGCAAAATTCTCTAGTTTTCTGAGGCACGATTTGATGAATGGGACCTGTCTATTGTTGGGCGCATAAACATTCACTAAAGTAATGAGGGTATTGTTGATCATTTCTTTGAGAAAAAGATACCTGCCCTGTGGGTCTAATTTGCTATCTCGTAGCGTGAAAGCTCTTCTGGTTGATAAAAGGATAGCGACCCCTCTAGATTTGCCTCCGTGGTAATTGCTAAAGTACGCTTGTCCCATGGATTTGGTTTTCAATGAGGGGGTCCGATCTCCTCTAAAATGGGTCTCTTGGAGAAATACTATATCCATCTGCTGTCTGTCTAGTTCCTGCGCTAGGATTGTGTGTTTTTCGGGCGTGTTTAGTCCCCTTACATTCAGGGACATGAGTTTGAGGTTATCCATCATAAAGCAGCCAAGAGTGAGGGCTTCTCAGGCTTAGATGGTGTGATGACCTGTACTCAATGGAGGGGAGGGGTCGGGGGGAAAAACGTAAACTGTGGAAACTATATACAGTGTATATGCAGCATGCCTGCTGCGTCCAGATGGTGTCAAGCCCGCTGTGGATCATATGGATCCCGCGTGCTCTTTGCGGCACCTCTTGGGGGGTGTGTGGTCTAGACCCGTTGAGACCCGGGGCCAGCTGTGCGTGTGAAATACTTAATTCGTATAACGTTAGCGATCTTGCGGTAGCTTGTGTTGATAACGCTTACATCTTATCATAACATAACTGTTGATCGAATCCCAGATCCAGCGTGCCTGGGGCCCGGGCGCCACCTGGACGCCCTGGCCCCAGCCACGGGGACCCTTGGCATTGGGTTACACAGTAAACATTAGACATATAGAAACATGTACATTTGTAAACATGGCATTAACTAGGTGTTGATTGAGGCAGACGCCTATGTGTCTTAGGCATTTTTAGCAGAGTAAAAGGATATAGCAAGTCTATTAGGTCGGTCTCGTGGCATTTCCTTTTGGTGTCGTGGGCAGTTCGTTTCCCGAGGGAGCCCGCCTCCCTCGTTTCTTGGGGCTGCGCTGCCATTTGGCCTTCTGGGACAGTTGCCTGTCCTGTTCCATGTATAGGCCAGTCCAGTCTTCCACCACGTCGGTAGGTATGCCTAGAGCTTGTTGGAACGTCAAGACATCCGCCGGAGTTGATATCGAGTGCGTCTTCCCTTGGCGGTTCACCACTAGGGCAAAGGGGTATGCCCAGCGGAAACATATGTTGCGGTCCGAGAGTGCTTTTGTTATCGGGCGCAGCGCTCTTCTTGCTATCAGCGTGGATTGCGCCAAATCCTGGAATATCTGCACTTTGCGGTCAGAGAAAGTAATATCTCTGATTTGCTTGGCCTTTTGAAGAATCGTCTCTTTAATGGGAAAATGGTGAATTCTGCAAATGATGTCCCTTGGTGTCTCATTCGCCAATACTTTCGGCCGGATTGCTCTGTGAACGCGGTCCAGCTTAATGGGGGTGTCCACCGGTCTGCCCAGGAGCTGATTAAAGAGATTTGTGAGGGTTTGTGTTATGTTTTCATTTGTCCCCTCAGGGGCTTCAGGGATGCCTCTTATTCTGAGGTTATTGCGCCTTCCCCTATTGTCCAGGTCCTCTATTTTCTTTTGCAGGAATATTAAGGCTTCATTCTGGGTTTGCTGGAGGGTTTGCATATTATGTATTTGCAGGGCTATAGTTTCTCCCCCCTCCTCCAATAGTTGTACTCTATTGCCAATGTGGCTTACCTCCTCATGTAAGGATTGCAGCTTGTCCCCAAAACTTCTTTCCATTTTGGAAAACATGGCTTCTAGGTCCAATTTAGAGGGCAGCTGGGTCAGGATAGATTTGATGTCTGTCCCCTCTGTGGAGCTTTCTGAAGGAGCAGGGCTGGCTGGAGCGCTGCTCGCGGGTGATTTCTCTGCCGCGGCCATTTTGGACCGCATGTCCGTCTCCTGTTTCTCCGTGAAGAATCTCCTCAGGGACGTTTTGGAGGGTAAGGGGTGAGAGGAGGGGGTGCTGCTTACTTGTGCCTTCGTTCTTTTGGTCGCCATGACTGTGTGAATGCCGGGACTCTACGTTTTCAGGCCGGACTCGAGCGGAGCTCGGCGTTCATGCGGCCATTCACTCCCGCGTCCAAGCCACCTACCTTATTCTTTATTTTTGTTGTGCAGGTAGGTACATTATATTAACAGTCGCCACAACAGCATATTGCAAGATACAGAACATTTTGACAGTGGCATGAGAATTCGCACAATTTTTATGTTTTTTTAAGCATGCTTAATTAGACAGATTGATGAAGTAAGATTAGCTAACATACAATGATATAAACTGACGATTAGTTATTAATGCTAGTTCTGCTATGTTATCGTAGTCATACTGTATAAGTACGGTTTGCAGTTTAGCAGTTACTAAATGAAATAATATATTTAAAAGTTAAACTATGTGTATTTAAGCTAAGAAACGCCAAACAGAAGTTAACATTGCTAGAGTTAGCCTACATTGTGTAGTCATGTTTCTATTCTCTCTAAGCATAAAGATGCCCTGCATAAAAACATGGGTAAGATGCTTTGAAGGTCTTGAGTGGATTAATAGACTTAACATTTGAAAGCAGTTAGTGGAGTCTGCACATTTTTAAAAGGTAATACTGACATGCATGAGAACACATTTGCAATGGATAAGTAACTGCTATATTATCTATGGTTAATGAGCTAATTGCCTGTGGTTAATATACTGTATTGCTTGTTCCACTGCTTCTATACAGAACTAACAGTCTCTGCTGCGATTTGCCAGGGCCATACTGTGAGACATACTGTGAGGTGGGATCTTGCAGTGTCTCTGCTGTAGGGCCTGCAGGGACGCAGATTGTCTCTGGGTCAGTCCGCTTTGGTCAGCCGACACCAGTTCTGAAGGATTGGTGGGTGGGCCCGGAGCGTTGCGAGGTTCCCTCCCTCGTTGGTTGTGGATGGGCTCTGTGCCGGTTTAGTTCGCCGGGCAGCGACCCTGTCGGATCGTGGTCTGCTCTGATCACGTGCCCCATGTTCTGTATTCCGGTTGTGTGGTGGGTAAGGGCGCCCCTGTAGAGAGCAGGTTCACCTGGCAGGCAGCGTAGGGTCTTGGCTGTGCTGCATATTTTTTGGTGTGGTCACCTGTCATTGCCTTCCCGGTACGGAAGTTTCATGGCAGCCATTTTGGGCTTTTTCTTCTGCTGTCTTCTCATCCAGTCTGGGCCCCTCCGGAGTTTACGTCGGGTCTCTGCACATCTGTAAGG